TTAACTCGGGTTCAAGACATACATTCGACATGTATGTCTATAAAGCACCAACCTTTGGGATGATTTTGGTGTTTGATCACTTTTGGAAAGGATGGACCTCAAACTTTAAGCATTAAGTACTTGTTGGTTAAACTCTTGCGTTATAGGGCTTTATGGATTGAGTTTGAACCTCTTTGGGTAGTCCCAATGGATAAAGTTGGAAACTTTAACCTCCTGGACCACATTATGGAGTAGATCTAAGCTTTGGAGCTCTTGGATTCGGAGAAAACAACTTAATGTATTAAGTTGTTGAAACTCAGGCAAACCCAACACGAAGCGTGGCCGGGATTTTCTCGACTGATTGGATGCTAGTGGAACACGACATAGCCAAGGGCGAACACAACGTGATTGATCAGCATGGACTGTTGACTTTAACTTTGGCCAGAAGTTTGATCATGGTTGATCGTGGGATATTTTGGGCCATGTTTGGGCCTTTTAGATTGTTGAATTGGGCATTGGATTTGGGACAAGTTATAATGTGGGTAAAAAGGTCTTTTCCCCTACTTTGGACACATAGTGTGGGTGGGATCCAATTATAGATGGATGATTAACTTCTGATTGATAGCGAGAGGATTCTTGCAGGCCAAAAAACCAAAGATTCTTTTTGCGAGATTCGGCAGTACGAGGAGAGTTTCCTCACAACGTCTCGGATGGTTAACCAAACCCGATATGTCTCGATAATAATAAGAATTATATTAATATATATTGATAACACTAAAATTACCAACATTTATGTAATATCCCATAAATTATAAGGTAAAATTTTCATTTAATGTTTAATCGAAAACACCAATTATCTCTTTCTAAACAGACAAAAGTATATTATAATTAAACAATTATGAGAGTGCAATCCCAAAATCATCAAGTTGCATAAACATGGGTGGATATGCTGCGATAAAGCTGGGCCCTTCCCTTTCGAACCGGAAGTACTTGAAACCATAACCATAAACTGTAAGCACAAAGCTTAGTGAGTTCCCCAAAGTACCACATATCATACATATTATTGGGCCTAGCCTAACATAAAAAATGCAAGAGTAAAAAAGATAGCCTGTAACAGCCTAAAATCCAAGTATCCTTCTATTTAGCCTTGCATCTTTGATATATTGCCATTAAGGGTTTGCATGTTAGGCGAGTACGCTGGGCGTACCAGGAGTAAGCTTCACGTACTTGTGCGCTTCATTTGGATGTGTTTACCCTCGGGTACGGTGGGTGTACCCAAGATTACGCTGGGCGTAACCGGTCTATACCTAAAAACCCTAATTCTTTTGGAGGGATATAAAAGGAATGTGTGGCTGGACTTCTCAGCCACCATACCTCAGAGAGAAACCCTAAAGAGAGTGTGCATTCGTTCTTAGGCCATTTTGTGAATATTCTAAGCTTGGTGGTGCCATTCCAAGGTAGCAAAGGAGAAGAAGAGCTCATTGGGAAGACTAGAAGTGGCGTTCAAGTGTGGATCTGAGCTTTGCAAAGGTTGAAGCTTCATTATCAGGTAAAAAGTTCGGATCTTGACATATGGTTCATGTTATATGCTTCAAATACCATTTTCTAGGGTTTTAGTCCAAAAGGTGGAGACTTTTTGTGCAAATGGTCTCCATAAGCTTAGATCCATCATATTTCTGGTCTATTGGAGTTGTAGACTCATAAAAATGATATCTTGGACGTGAATGTTGCACCATGCATGAGATCCAGGTCCTTGAGTTGGAATAGAATGATGTTAAGAAGTGTTGGAGACTTTACAGCCATGCCAAGGCTTAAAGGTCTCGACTTTATGGGTATAGACGCATAAACAGAGCCAGATCTAGAAGTTGGAGTATTGGCTTAACCGATTAAGACCAGAAATGAAGTATGTTAAAGTCTGATGGTTACGCTGGGCGTAACTCCCAGTACGCGCAGCGTACTGGGTGGAGACCTCGATCCATGGGTTGGCGATGTACGCCCCGCATACTCACAAGGTTTGACTTTTGTTGACTTTTAAGGTTTTGGTGAACATATAGACTTTGGGTCAAGGAAGGTTAAAATGGTCTTTTAGCCTCTGAGGAATGATGATAAGGGGTAAAGTTTAGTTGTGGAAGTCTTTGATTATTAAAATGATATTTTTATGATTAGGCGAGGTAGAGTCATCGTTGGGATTTGGAGATAGCGAGTACGCGAGATCTTAGACTTTCCACGAGGTGAGTTTTCTCACTATACTGTACCCGGAAGGGTTTTATTGTGTGACCGGAAGGTTGGATATGTTATGAGTTATATGCATTGTATGTGATAAGTTAAACGTTTTTATGTGCCATGTATGATATGCTTGATATGGGCCGGAAGGCGTATATGTTATGGGCCGGAAGGCGTATATGTTATGGGCCGGAAGGCATCGTAATGTGGACCGTAAGGTTGACGTAGGTAGGACCGGAAGGTTTACCTAGTCGGGACGGAAGTCCCCTGAGACACATGGACCGGAAGGTCAGGGCCTGGAAAGGCGTATGTGTGTAAGTGGTATTTTGGGGAACTCACTAAGCATTTATGCTTACAGTTGTTTTGTTATGTGTTTCAGGTACTAGCGAGGACCGTGGGAAGGCGCCGGCGTGATTGTACACACTATCGGAGAAACTGTTTTTATGATCATGGGATGTATTTTGTTATGATAACATTGTTTACGTTGAATTTGGAAAATTAAACAATGGTTTTTGATGTTTGCAAAAATGAAAATTTTGTTTTAAAATTTACGTTGTTACACAACCAACACCTTACATAACATACAGTGGGACTAACCCTTCTTGATCCATAGGCCTAGCCCAACATACAAATAGGCCTAGCCTAACAAACCACGTAACAGTCACAAAAACAACTACCACAACATATGCTAGTTGGTTGGCATTGGTGCCTTCGACCCACATGTGAGGAGACTCACCTGAATCACAAAGTTGACCCTAGCTTACTACTCTCGTGCCAAAATCCAAGTGCTCGACACTTCCTATCAATCCATACAAGGTAAACCCTAAGTCGACGTTCAAAAAATAGAATTTTGACCAAAGGTCAAACGAAGCCAAAAGTCAACGATCAAAGTCAAAGTCAACAACCTAAAATGTCAAACAATGTAGTAGAATTCGTTACTCGGTACCTGTTCGGCCGACTACCGACCAACGAGTAACTCGGGAGTACTCGGATTTGTTAATTTCATGAAGAAGTATTTTTAGGGAAATTATATATGTCAAAATCATAAGTTGATTGAAATATATAACAAAATTACATAAATATGAATACACAAAAACTGAAAAACACATAATGGTCTCACTTTGTGAATAATTACTGAAAAATTAAGATATTTGCAGTAATAATCACATATGTGTGTGTTAAACAATAGTTCATTAAGTATATTATGCATATTAATCACCGAGTTGACCGAGTTTTACAACACTGCTCAGTTTAGTAAGTGATCAATCGGGGGAGTACTCGGGATTCTCTTACTCACATCGGTATGGAGCCGAGTAGCAAGTACTTGGAGGAGTAATTGGACAACTCAGTGAGTTTTACAACACTAATGTCAACTATACATCCTCAAGTCGTTACCAGCCCTTGGTCATGTCGAGAGATCTCACTCGGTTCGATTCCAACTCATCCCGGCTCACCATGTCCAACTCAGTCAAGAAAATTCAACGAAACTGACATCACATCGTGAGCAGCCTCCTCTCATGTCGTAATCTCCAAGAAGCTAACTAGAAACAGCATCATTCAAGCATCGCTTCATGAGACCCCATGTCTCACGTCGTGTATAGTCTGAAGCCAAAGGTCCAACTTTTAAGTCCTTCATCCCTTAAGCCTTGAACCCAAACTTTCCATGAGGTCTTATGACTTCTTAATATACTAGAAAGTCGATGCTTTGAAGAAATATATGTCCAATAAATGTGTAGATCACAATTAGGTCAAAATTTGAAGAAAAGACATTCAACTTTCATGCAAGGTTCCAAAACTCAATCGTTGTGTAGATCTAAACTCCAAGATACCCATAAGCCCTAATAACCCATAAAGTTGCCAACATTATGGTTTTCCATTCATTCAAACTTGCACATCCAAGTAGAAAAGTGGGACAAAAGTTAGATGTATCCTCATATAATCATAAAGATTGAATCTTTAACACTTATAATGGTCCTGAAACAAAGTAATGTGATGATAATTATGATTATTCCTTGCAAGCATCCACAAAAGGTCACCTTCTTCTTCTTCTTCTTCTTCTTCTTCCACACCAAGAAAGGCTCTCAATTCACCAAGGATCAAGCAAGGATGGAGACTAGCGTTTTTCTGAGGTGAAAGAGGATTTGGGGCTGATAAAAAACCCTAAAATGAGTTAGAGATGCTTAAATACGAATGAAACCCTAAAAGATCATGGGTTTGGGTTGCAGCAACTTGGACATCGTGAGTCTCTATGCCTCACGCCGTGAGGCTCTTTTTTCTCCAAAATCCAACCTTTTGACTTCTTGAAACCCTAATTCGATTCATTCTGGAAAATGGGCGCTACAATTTCTTGATGATCGATCACGTGATATTGTGCCACTTCCTGATGCTCCATTCCTCAAAACCAACGTCATGTATATTCTTATTTGTTCTATGGTTATCAACATCAAATGATATTGTAGATCTATTTTAGAATTTTCGTAATTATGTCATCTATTAAAATTTCAAAAACGAAAAATTTATAGTTGGGTTCACAATATCAGCTCGTGTAAATGCTTGAAGCAATTGTCTAAAGCATATTATTTATTTTAGCTTCCATTAGTTGTTTCGTTGGGTAACATACCTTCCCATTCATATAACTTGCATTGTTTCATCTTTCGAAACTTCAAACATATTCGATTGTGGTAAAATAATCCTCGAGCATTGCACTACTTATTACCGACTCATAAATAGTTCCTATAGTTGATGTAAACTAGAATCATCAGGTACTTAAAAGAGTCTATAGTTGATGCAAACAAGAATCTTAAACACTAATAAAAAAAATACAATAAATAATAGTTTCATCAATATGATAAGTACAGTTTTTGGAAACAAACATATGAGGAATACAAAAGAAAAAAGTTGACCATAACGCAATGAAAGAATCTCAAAATATTGAAATAATAGACTTGAAATTAATCTTCCTCTAGTTAGAATTGTGGCTTAGAGCATTCAGTGGGGATCTGGCCTTTAAACCGCTTAAAATCAGTGCAATAGTTATAGACCATGTAGTTGTCTCTCACCCATTTGAGTCGACCCTGTTGATCATTGCTCAATTGCTTGTATACAGGAGACATCCACCAGTTTCCTGGGGTGGGAATAGCACACAGACTAATACTAACAGGTCCATTCCACTTACAAGCTCTTGCCCTAAACCTCCGATAATTAGCCACAAAAGGTGCAGAAGTCCAGTCAATCTTGACCAGTCCACCTCTAGTCGCCCAATTATCAGCATTCCATAAACTGGAGTAAACTCTCATCCCCTGTTGATTTGGGTATGCAACCCCTTGACTCTCATAGTTTCTGAACACCCGAATAGGCACACTATCAACATACCATCTGCAATACATAAACAATATTAAAATAACTATTAAACAATCATTAAAGATGTAGAATTTGGTTCTTCGATTTGGTTTTTACTTACACTACTTGTGTAGGATTCCAATGAATGGTGTAGTTGTGATAATCGGAAGTTGGGTCAAACCATAATTTGAACTGTTGCTCTTTGTTGCCTTGACCTTGAGTGTAGATGTTTGTGTGGATTGTGTATGGTTCTCCTGTTGAGTTCCCCAAGAACTCAAAGTCGATTTCATCATGTTTAGCACCCGTAGAAGACAACTGTGATCATTATTCAACTTTGTGTTTAGATTTGTTTATGAAATTATACAATCTTGATGTGTTTTTTAGGGTTAAATGCATGAAATAACGTGTTTTCATTGATTTGTTTATTTTAGCATCAAACTTATATTTCTTTCTTTAATAGGATTGTACTTTGAAGAGTAAACCTAATTATGGTATTGTCATCCATACACAAACCAATTTCCATTTGTATACCTGTATATACTTTATGGAAATCACAGAAAAAACATTACATTTTTGACAACTTTAAGGTTTAACTACTTATACTTCATTTTTTTCTGTCTTACACATTTTCCAATATAACCATTTAGACTTGTTATAACAGGTCATCATGATTAATATAATAGGTGATAATACTTAAGTTGGAAAAATATTTGAGACTTTTAATATTGTTTGATTGAAAAAATATAACATTAGTGGTTAAACGGCAAAAGTGCCCAAGATATAATGTTTTTTTCTTTTTCGTCATTTTCCTTAATATTGTTTGATTGAAGTATACAATGTTTAAATAGAAAGAACTAACAGATGAAAGTGTGTTGCTGTTTTAAGATATTATCCCTAATTATTTTTAGGTTGGTTCTTGAACTTACATAATATGCTGTCACGGTTCCAGCCGAGTTCCCTGGGACCAACTTGATTAGCATTTCAATGCTTCCGAACAGGAATGCTCTCTTTGATTGGATGCCTGATCCTGTAAGTCAAAGTTTGAACTGGAATTACAATCGGAATCAAACATCCCGTTCTTGAAAATGCATAATATATATACCTGAAGTTTGGTCCAAAACAAGTCGGAGGTCATCACCATTGCCTAGAATTGAAGAATGGTGAGCACCCCAATTGAAATACATGCTTTTGGCGATAGTTGCATCAACCAGAAGGGTGGAGTGGAATGCTATTCCGATCACCAAAACCGTAATCAGCAAAGCTTGAGAACCTGCCATTTTTCAATCTGGTGAATGTTTCTCTAAATTTACTGGGTTTGTTGGTGGTGGTGTTGGTTTCTTGATAGTTTATATAGCCTTTGTCCTGCCTATGCACCTTACCAAGATGAATCTTGTATTCTTTGACTTTGTTTTATAATATATCTTGACCTTGTCTTTCATTTTGACATTCTTGCAGCCTTAATATATTTTCTTTCTGCTGTAAAAGTTCATGTTAAATTTAAAGTGTGTGCTATTAAGGAAAAAGAAGCCAAGCAAGAATATTGTGCACACCCTAATCCATGCATAAAATTCAGAATATATATACAACGCATATTTCTGTTGCATTTAACATATGATAGATTAGCAATATAGATTTTTGCATATTTGAATTCGATCCAAAAGGTTACTATTTAGTAGTTTATTAATTAAAAATGTTAAATCGGTAAAATTTAATTTCATAATTTTATTATGACATGAGTTGGCTATTTATCTAGTATATACATTGTTTTTTAATTTTTTAAATGTTTGGAGTAAGAAATTTGTTTTATACTTTATTATATATGGAATGTCTACAGTTAATACTTACATGTATACATAAACACGCTTTTAGTAGGTGTATTACGCCATAAAAAGCTGTGTACATGCTGTAGAGATGATCGAACGCATAAGTTGAACCGGTGCACAGCCGGCTTTGTGTTAGCTATGGTTTTGTATAAGACGTGCATCCCAATCGAACGTAGCTACTTCAATAATTATAATATTATATTCATTATTCAATTATATTGATAAGTACTTTATAAAACTTTTACAGCATATATAGTCCTGTATTAACACTTGTTCATATTTTTACTAATTGTGTGACTAATAAGTTATGACAATACGGTACGTGCCTTCAACCCTACAAAGTCAATAATATAAATTACATTAAAATTTACAACCCTAGCACAACCATTAAGGACATTAGAGCAACTGAGAGGTACATAGACTTAAACAATATTTTTTTTTTAAAGCAAAATTGAAGAAAACGCTCTCTAAAAGCTTTACTAATTAACTTCTCAAATTTCAATTCCAAAAATTTCAGTTTTAATATAACGATTTGGAAAACATTTATCAAAAAACATCATCAAGTCATATCATTTGTAAACCATAATCTCGTGTCTGAACATCATATCATAAAAATAGTAACATTGTCAGATTAGAATCGCAAGAAAGCTCGTAATGCGGAAATCCAATGTGTGTGTATGATGTGCAGCTACCGCATCGGTTCTTTCCCATTCGCTGAAGAGGTACCTGATACAAAACTGAAACCTATAAGCACAAAACCTAGTGAGTTCCCCCATCGTACCACATACCATACAATCATATAACATACATACTGTCGGGCAATTTTGGGGTGCCCAACCTACACGGTACGGCCATTCTAGGGTGCCGACCTACCTGTGTCAAGCCATTCTGGGGTGTTGACCTACCCGTGTCAAGCCAATCTGGCGTGCTGACCTACCCTTTGGTCCTAAAAACCGAACATCTAGTACTATTCCCCTCCTACTACCACTATCACATAGAACATATCATGTCAGCATATAAACATAAAATAACATACTGTCAGGCATATCTAGGGTGCCCGACCTACCCTTCGGTCCTAACAATTGAACTTGGGGACTATTCCCCTCCTACTACCACTATCACATATAACATCTCATGCCAGCATATAACATAACAGGTAGTAGCAAACCTAGATAAATATCACCAAGACAATCATCTATCATACAACTCCTACTGGTGGGCCGACATTGTGGCCGAAGATCCACCACTTCTGGAAGGTAACTCATCTCGTATGAATGAATGTTGTCAATCTGAGTGAGAAGTATCTGTCTGTTGCTTCGACGATTCTCCGGCTATAATTCTCATAAAGACACTTACTTATAAGCTGATCAAAGTCAACTTCCAATTGACCTGACTCGCTGAGTCCCTATTCTTTCATCTGACCCCTTCCCGACTCTACTCATCAAGTTTAGCAAAGAATCGACAAGTTCTCCTTCTATAATATCATTGAATGAGCCTTCATCCGACTCGCCGAGTTATATGAACAACTTGCCGAGTCCATCTTCAAAGGGTTGGGAGATTGCCTTGGACTCATCGAGTCTATTCATACACTCGCCGAGTCCTATGATTCACAGGTCCATTTCTAAGTCTAATATGTTGAGTCACTCCCCTGGATCCCTCTAAAACCCTTCTAACACTCAACTGGGTTCCTTTGAACCTCAACAGCTTGGGGACTCAAGCCCTGGACTTGCCGAGTTCCAAGAACAACTCGACGACTCGGTGTTGTCCAGTCTTATATCTCGATTTCTGATGTACAACATTTATCCAAAAGACAGATCTTGGCTTCTAAGACTGATCTAGCACGTAAAGTTATGAACTTCATGTGCATGTATGGGAGTATAAGCTTAATGGACCAAAAAATGAGGTCTAAAGGTGCATATGGCTCTCAATGGCTACAAAGTTAGCCACTTTAGGCCATGTAGTCCCCTAAGGACCCTGGATCTGGAGTCTTAACCCCTAACCATGCTTGCACTCATGATTGGTCACCAAAAATGGTTCCAAAAAGCCCTAATTCACTCCAAAAAGGGATATAGAACATGAATGAACAAGGTATAAGCTTTATACCTCTAAGGAACTGTAGGTGCTGCACAAACTCGAAATCTTCTGGTTTCCTCTTGGCTCCTCAATCTTTTCCTTCTTTCTTGTTATCACAAACCACCAAAATCACCAAAAAGGACCTTAGATCTCACAAAACGATTAGGATTTCAGTATGAGGTGTTCCGGGAGCATAAGGGACGATGGAGGTTGTAGTAAAGATGTTTAAATAGGGTGCATTCCCTCGGATTTAGGATTTTATCCAAACATCGCCTACTCGTCGAGTCGGTTTGCCAACTCGTCGAGTAGGTCACTAAACTCCCGCGTCCAAAGTCGATTCTACTCGACGAGTTGGACCTTCAACTCGCCGAGTCCCAGGCCAAAATGTTATAATTACTTGAATGAAAATACGTACCAGGAACCGGGTGCTACAAAATATCCCCCACTTATTTTAGACTTCTTCCTCAAAGTCTGCTGCTCGATCCTGAAAAGCTCTGGGTAATGCTCCATCATCTCGTCCTCCAGCTCCCACGTCCATTCTGAGCCCTTTCGGTGCTACCATTGCACCTTCACCAACTCAACCCTCTTGTTCCCCTCATATCCTTCGACTTCCAATCGAGGATCGCCACAGGTTGCTCAATGTAGTTCAGGCTGTCATCTACCTGAATATCTTCCAGAGGTACCACTGTCGAGTCATCCACCAATAACTTCTGCAGCTGGGAGACATGGAAAGTGCTATGGATCTGACTGAGTTTCGTTGGCAGATCCAGCCTATATGCCACTTTGCCCACCCGGGCTATAACCCTTAAGGGTCCAATATACATGGGGCCCAGCTTAACCCGCTTCTGGAATCAGATAACGCCCTTCCATGGCGACACCTTTAGGAGGACCATATCCCCCAACCTGGAACTCCAGGTCCGAGCGGCGCTTGTCGGCATAACTTTTTTGCTAACTCTGAGCAGTCTGAAGCACCACTTCGAAGCTCCCCATGACCCTCTGGCCTACCTCACCCCAACCTATTGGGGTCCTGCACTTCCTCACGTATAACATCTCAAAGGGAGGACGATCGATACTTGCGTGGTAGCTATTATTGTAGGAGAACTCATCTAATAGGAGATAGGTATCCCAACTACCACCGAAGTCTAGCACATATGCCCGCAGCATATCCTCCAGAGTCTAGATGGTCCGCTCGCTCTGTCCATCCGTCTGCGGGTGAAAAGCGGTGCTAAAGTGTAGACGGGTACCCAACTCGTCGTGGAATTCCTTCCAAAATATGGAAGTAAACTGCACATCTCTATCGGAAATCACAAAGACTGGCACTCCATGTCGAGCCACCACCTCTCAAATGTAGATGTCGGCTAGCTTCTCGGCCGATATACTCTCCTGGATCGGTATAAAATGGGCACTCTTAGTCAATCGATCCACGATGACACATTAGAGGTATCACACTTGAGGTACTAAGCTCTTGAAAGGCCAAGAACTACAAGCTACAACTAAGAGGTATTCATCTAACTAGTTTTTATGTTGTATATCTCCAATTGCATGCTAGCTAGGGTATATGCTTTGGATAAAATGAAATTGCAAGTATAACATGAGAAAACTTAGATCCAAAGCATTAGGTTCGTATGTACACCGTAGGGATGGTATAGTGCTCAAAACCCATCAGTTGGATGATTTACGAATATCAGTTATGGCCTTGGGGAAGGTACAGGTAAGTGTGAAAGGTAGTATTGGGCTCGTACTACTGAAAGCACAAGACCTGTACCCAAAGCAATGACAAACTTGATAATTCTTAGAATTCTGGTGAGGAGGAATCTCTTTATAATTCCTTATTTTGGTTAATTGTGATATTTCATTTGAGGATGGTGATGATCACGCAAGCTTTAGGATCAGGATTAGGATCGGGATCAGGTTTGGGCTCCGGTGCAAAGCCCATGGATGGGAGGTTGCACGACCTTATCACAGCCGAGGTTACTCGTGGCATCCTTGACGCTACCCCGGTGATTTTTGGTATCAAGGAGGGCATCATGCAGATCATGATGAAGAGGCTCGAGTACTTCCAATCTGAGATTGTTATAGGCCAGATTAGGACCCGAGCTCCCTTCTTCATAGAGTTCAAGGCGTATGGAGCGCCTAAGTTCTTTAGGGTCAGGGATCCCATTACTAGCCGACGCTGGGTAGCAGACATGTATAATGCCCAGCACATGAGTTTTTGCTCCGATGCGGCAAAGGTGGGGTTCACATCTTGTATATTGAGGGATCGAGCACGAGACTAGTAGGAGGAGGTAACCCGTGAGGTGGGTTTAGCAAGGGTGGCTGAAATGACTTGGGAGAAGTTTGTGAGGAGGTTTGATCAGGAGTTTGCACCATCCATTGAGGTGCGGCGTTTGGTGAAAGAGTTTCAGGATCTATAACAGACT